CTTGAATTTTTGTTTCCAGTCAAAGGTCTGATGATCCTCGAGACGTAACTGCCGATTCCACTTGTTGCACTTCCGACATTGGAGATTATTGGCCTGAACGGGTTTCCTGGCTTGTGGATTTTCGGTAGGCAGTAAAGCTCTGGGCACTTCGGATTACTTGAGTACTTCAAGAGTTTTGTGAAGTTTATAAGTTGCTCTTCCTTGGTTTCTTCTGCGTAACGAGTCAGTTTGGTCTTCAGCTTCTTCCTGACATTGTCCGTGGGGTCCAGTTGGATCGGCTTGTAGGATGCTGTGTCTAGGAGTTGTTTGACGTTGTTGATGTACAACTGTACTTAAACTTCTCTATTTTAACTCCCCTAATGCACTATCTGAACATACCCTTCCCTCTAGTCACCTTACACTCTGGCAACTTGAGCTAATGACGGAACCAGACGAGTCCCGGCAGTTCCTTCTTTCCGTCTATCTTTGCCAATAAACAGCTTTCTCTTCACGTGTTTCTGTGATCGATTCAATTGTGACCAGTGTTAGCCGCGTTATCATCAACACCAGGAACATCCCTGTTACTAACGCTGTCTTCATTGAGGTATGCTACCTTGGTCTTAAGGAGAACCCAAGGGGCGATCAGGCTACTCCGCTCCCCTGAACCTTCCTTCCGTCCCTTGAGAAGCACAGACGTAAACACTTGAGAAACAGATAGACCGGTGGCCTGTAAGTCGGCATCGCGTTCTTCAGCGATGTGATGCGTCGCTCACTGTTGGGAGTGCCAGAGCTATCTTTCCAACGGGTGCATGCAATCTACTTCACTTTATACAAAAATTAAACTCTTGTGCTTCCTGGTGAATTCGAATAATTGAGATTCGGATAATCGAGTTTCCAGTATAGTAAGCCTTAACTTTGAAGGCAGCCAACTTCATAGGGGATCGGTTGAGCGGAACAGTAAAAAATAAAAAGGGTTTTGTTTTTAACTGTTTAAGTCTAAGTTATTGCAGAAAACGCGAATATTTTCACGTACTCATCGACAACAAATGATACTTTAGGGAAGATGGCATTATGGTAGTCGCATATGCTCAAATCATGCTAGAAATAATGGGGGAATTCTGTGCTAACATTGCAAATGCCATTGTACGAACATACCATAACTTAATTCAGGTGGTTAGAAAAATACGGTGAGCAGATAACTTTCGTTGCTCCTTGAAATAGGTTGCTCTCGTTGGTATTAAATCGCCTCAGCATTTGCAGAGCAGTATCGCGCCGAGTGATAGATGGGAGATGTCAGTGGATATGAAAGCATTGTTACTGCGTGTGTATCGAGTAGAGCTTGCAGAAGACGTTAATATTCGGCTGTCACGAAGATCCCCCGCCTAGTTACCAACATAACTTGCACTCTAGCGCAGGCTACAGCAGTACTGTTTATTGAAATGTACGTATAATGGTTTGGAGCAGGACTGTATAATTTCATCACGTTCTTGTCATGGCAGAAGACCTGTTGAGAAAAGTATTTATTGAAAAATGTACGTTTGGTTCGGGGGTTTGTTCTCCTCGTCATCACCTTAGTGAACGAATGACTGTGAGAAGTTGGTCAAGTCAGTATAGTGTGAAATTTTTAAGCGATGGAAATTTGACTTTGACCATGAAGTCGTGCAACCGGAAGTTCGTATCAGTATTGGGTGTTGGAGAAAACATATACTACATTCAAAATAAAGGAATAAGAAAACTGACCAACTGAGGCATAATAAGAATTAGATTGAATAATATCGACGATATTGTTTTTTCTTATATTAATGCATAACAAATTTGATAAAGAAAAAATTAAGAGAATAATTAATATTGAATACTGGAAGCTTCTTAAGGATGATGAGCCCTTATCGCTGAAGACGGTACAAGGTGGCCCCACAGCATAACATCAGCGCATGTTGAAAATTTTGATTAATTAGCGTGTCTTATTTAAAAATCCTATTCAGATGCGTTTTGCTATGCTCAGTC